GTTTGATTCTACGAATTTCTTTATCCCATCCTTAATTTCTTCTATAACCCAGTAGTTTTGAGCAAGGTATTGTTCAGTTTCCATGTGTTTGATTTTTTTTCCTTGCTTTTTCTATTGTTGATTTCTACTTTTATGGCTTTATGGTCAGAAAAGATGCTTTGTAATATTTTGATGCTTTGGATTTTGTTAAGGCTTGCTTTATGGCCTAATGTGTGGTCTGTTCTGGAGAATGTACTATGTGTGTTGGAAAAGAAAGTATACTTGGTTGCTGTTGGGTGGAGTGTTTGGTATATGTCTATGAGATCAAGTTGGTTGATTGTAGCATGTAGCTCTTCCATGTCTTTGTTGAGCTTCTTTCTGGATGTTCTGTCCTTCACCAAAAGTGATGTGTTAAAGTCTCGTACTACTATTGTGGAGCTGTCTCTTTCTTTTCAGTGCTATTGGAGTTGTTTTATGTATTTTGGAGCCCTGTGTTGGGTGCATAAATATTTATTATAGTTATGTCCTCCTGGTGTATTTACCCTTTAATCATTATATAGTGTCCTTCCTTATCCTTTGTGGTGGATTATACTTTAAAGTCTGTTTTGTCAGAGATTAATATTGCCACTCCTGCTCTTTTTTGAGTGTTGATTGCTTGATATATTTTTTCCATCCTTTGAGTTTTAGTTTGGTTGTGTCTTTAAGTCTAAGATATGTCTCTTGTAGGCAGCATATAGATGGATCGTGGTTTTTTTTATCCAATCTGCCACTCTCTGTCCCTCTATTTGTGCATTTAGTCCGTTTACATTCAGCGTAATTATTGATAGGTATGAGTTTAGTGCTGTCATTTTGATGTCTTTTTTTGTGTGTTGTTCACAGTTGCTTTGTTCCACTTAATTTTCTGCACTGAGTTGTTTCTCTTTATGTGTTTTCTTTTCATCTTTTTGATTGTTGTTGATTTTGTGTTTGCTGAGTCTTTATATTTTTCTAGTTTTTTATTTTGACTTGTAAGATTGTTTCCTTTGTGGTTACCTTAATATTTACCCTTATTTTTCTAAGTTTATTCCAGTCTTTTATTTCTTTGTATCTCCTTGGCTTCCTCTTCATATGAAAAATCTGTGTCTACCTTTTTTAAGTCCCTCTTTTTTGTTTTAATGTTGTCATCTTTTACATATTGACATCTGTTTCCCCATTTTCAGTGTTTTAGCTTTGATTTATTTTTGTGACTTCCCTATCTGGGTTGATATCTGGTTGCTCTGTCCTGTGTTCTAGGCTTGCGTTGTTATCTGATGTTACTGATTTTCTATCCGGAGGAGTCCCTTTAGTATTTTTTGTAATTTTGGTTTGGTTTTTGCAAATTCCCCAAACTTCTGTTTATCTGGAAATGCCCTAATTTTGCTGTCATATTTGAGAGACAGTTTTGCTGGATATATAATTCTTGGCTGGCAGTTTTTTTCCTTCAAGGCTTTATATATGCCATCCCATTGCCTTCTTGCCTGCATGGTTTCTGCTGAGTAGTCCGAGCTTATTCTTACTGACTCTCCTTTTAGTTTGTCCCTAGCCGCTCTTAAAATTCTCTCTTTATCTTTGGTTTTGGCAAGTTTGATTATAATATGTCTTGGTGACTTTCTTTTGGCATCTACCTTTTGTGGGGTTCGCTGAGCATCTTCAATAGATATCTTGTCATCTTTCACGATATCAGGGAAGTTTTCTGCCAGCAAATCTTCAACAGTTCTCTCTATTTTCTGTTATCCCCCTCGTTCTGGTACTCCAATCACTCGTAGGTTATTCCCCCTGACAGAGTCCCACATAATTCTTAGGGTTTCTTCATTTTTTTAATTCCTTTTATCTGATTTTTCCTCAAATTAGTTGGTGTCAAGTGCTTTATCTTCAGTCTCACTAGTTCTGACTTTCATTGCCTCAGTTCTGCTCCTCTGTTGAATTGTCTAATTCTGAAATTTTATTGTTAATCTGGTTTTCTGATTGCTGTCTCTCTATGGATTCTTGGCGGACTGTTACATTTGTCATAATGCTCTTCTGCAATCTTTTTAATTTCCTCTATTGCATGTTCTGTGTTTTATTTTCCTTTCTAATTTCTTGAAGTGTTCTGTACATTAATCTTTTTTCTTCTGCCTCTGGTAATTCCAAGAAATTTTCCTCCTCTGGAAAATTTCTAAATTCTTTATTTTGGGAGCTTGCGGAAGCCATCATGGACTGCCTCTTTATGTGGTTTGATATTGATTGTTGTCTTGAGGCATCAATAAGTTATTATAATTGTTTATTTTAAGTTTGCTTACTGTGTCCTTGCTGCTTGTTTTGTTTTGATATGCCGAAATAGGCTGCTAGTATGAGCTAGTTTGATTATTGGCACCTTTGAAGCTCTAATGTCCTGTCACCAGGTGATTAGATCTGTTACTAGGTATGTGCGCTCAGGAGTCCGCCCATTCCTCCTATATGGATTCAGCTCAGGTGCCCAGGTAGGTAGCCACCAAGTGTGTGGTGTAGGCTCTCACATATAGTCCTAGACAGACATGGGCGATTGGTGTAGGCACAGGTATCTGACTGCAGCAGGGGGACACGCTCTGAGCAAGGCTGGGGGCTGACGGCTGCCTCCAAGTGTCCAGGAGGAAGGCGTGTCCTTGTTCCCTAGAGCACGTAGGTGGGTGGGTTTTGCAGCCGGACTATGAGCACCCAGTGCTGTCGGCTGTAAGGATTGCGGGACACCTCTTATTCTTGGGCCCCTATCTCAGGTGGCTAGGTGGCGTGTGTGGAGCCTCCAGTCCTCAGGTCCCTGATGTGGGTTGGTGAAGACCCTGCTTAATGGCAGAGCAGTGTTAAATGTTACTAACCTGCAACTTCACAGCTGAAACAGTTGAAGTTAGAGTTCCGGTATATACCCTGTTGTACTGCGGTAATGAGGGCCTCCATTGTGAGATATGCCCACACAAGTCTATGCAGGTGGAAAGTCACTCAAAGTCCATGGATCCCTTATGCCTGTGCCTAGGCAAAGGAGCTGTGCCTACCCTGGGTTCCTGACTTAGGGGAGCTGACAGTTTATTTTTTCCCGTTTTGTTAATTTGTTCACTTTCTAAGGCTGGGATAATGGCTCTGGGCATGTAACAGATCCTACTACTAGCCCAGGGGACTCCACAGTAGCTGAAGTGGGTCTGGGACCCAGTGCAGAGTGGGGAGCGGGGAGGTAAATGGAGAAAGGTTTTTCTCTAAGTGTGGTGTTTTTGATCCGTGTGGTAAGCCTTATGCGAGTACTTATCTTTTGCTGATGAAGGCTGCTTCTCACTGCTTCTGGGTGGCTGTGTAGACTCTATGGCGCTGGGTGTCTCCCGGTGCGGAAAACGCGCCTTCTGAGCACCGCTGCTTGCATGTCTCACTACTCACCCCCGAGGTGATCAGGCCTGAAGGGCTCAGGCTCTCGCCCAGTCAGGTCTGGCAACTCCTCGCTGCCTCCGAACCATCTCTCCCTCCCCCTGCCACTCAGTCTGGTTCCTCATCTCTGCCTTTGATGTTCAGGGCTCCCAGATTGCCATATATAATCGAATCACTTGTTTTTTCGGGGTTTGCTGTAGAGGGCCCACTGGAACTGTCTGGCTACTCTGCCATCTTGGCCCCGCTTCCTGCTGTCTGTTCTTGATGCCATTTTTATCTTTAGAATAAATTTTTCTTTTAAAGGTAGGACTTTGAGAATCCATTTCTTATTGAGAATGGAAGCTTGAGTTTTTTGAGCCAGGAAATATTCAAGGCAAATAGCTCATATTCATTACTTATTACTCTCATTGGATTAATATCTACAGGAAATATTGGAAAAATGATGAAAGCATCAAATATAAGGGAAGGAGCTGACTGTGTATGTCATGAAAAGCCCCTACTTCTTTTTTACTATGTCTCTTTCTCTTTTTTCTCTATATCACCATGCCCCTACAGAACATTCTTTGTCTTTATGCCAGTTTACTTTAAAAATGTCCAGTTATTTACCTTTTATTTAATATATTTATCCTTTACCACGTCTTTTTAACTCAGCCATTTGCATGTACTCTGAATAGTCAAAGATGACAGCATTTCTGTGCTTTGCTGGAGGAATATTTAGCAAAATTAAAATTTCAGGAACATAAGTCTAATAGCCATGATCATGTTTAGGCCATCTCAGACAGATGATGTCTGTTGAGTAGAAAGGCCTTCAGAGAACTTGATTTTGAAGTCTTCCTTTAATCATTCTTTCTCTGAGAAAATTATTTGTTAATTTATAGTGAAATCTCCCTTTCTTTTTGTCCTATCCACCTTGGAAATTGGGAGCCTCTGACTGCTACCTTTTTCATAACATTTCGTCAGGTTTTTTTCCTCTATAGTAACAGTATGTCACTTGGGTATTCTTTGGTGTAAGGAACACAGGAAGACTGTGTTCTGTGTTCTTGTTTTCATTTGCCCTCACCCACGTTTTTATTATGTTATCTTGTAGGTTTTATGATAGAGGAGTAATTCACATGGAAATAGTTGCTTTTGTTTTTGCTTATCTTAAGTCTTGTACATATTAATAGTCTTAAGATGTGTTATTAGTTAATCGTTTGCTTTGGTTCATATATATAGGACAGTGCCTTGCAGTAAGCAGTACATATAGCATATGGTTCAGAATTATTTATCTATCAGGCCTCTTTTTTTTTTTTTTTAAACATTTGTTATAAAGAATTTCTTCACTGATGGATCCTCTTTTCTATATAAAATTATAATTACACGTTCTTGGGAACATATGGGTTTTAAGCTGACATTTAATTATGTATTTCTGCTTTTTGTTAAACTTTGATCATGAAAGAATTTCAATTTTGTTTACTTCATTCCCTGCAGCTTCAAAATAGACATTGATTTTTGTTGTGTTTAAATTCCATTGCATTTGATATCTCTTCTTCCTTATGATGTCTTCTAATGTTGCCTGGAATCCTTCATTTGATCTTTAGCTACTCCTTATCTTCTTCAAAATTGGAAATCTCACAGTTTTCAAACTTACTTTTCCTCAAATGTAGAAATAAGAAGAAAAAGATTCCGCTGATGAATGGAGAAGAAGTTGACATGGATCTTTCTGCAATGGAGTAAGTTACTTAAATTTAAAGATACACTATTTTTTGCATTCTCATTTGTCTTGTTAAACTTTTCTTAAAGTATGTGATTGACCTCAAAATCAGTGCTTTTACAACATTTTAAAGGCATAGAAACCTTATTAAAAAACTACATAAAACCATGATTAATCAAATAGATAAAAGTAAATCTGGCCTGGCCTAGGTAGAATTAGGATGAAAAGCAGGATGATTGTGGGGGTAGGCACGGCTTGACTAGGCAGCTTTCTTGTTCCCCTGTTGGCCTCTAGAGTGGTACTTCCCAGAGTATAATGGGCATGCAGATCATTCAGGATCTTCTTAAAATGCAGTTTCTGATCCACTACTTCACTAGTGGGGCCTAATATTTTGCATTTTTAATGAGCTCGCAGTTGAGATTGACTTTCCTTGTCTTTGGACCAGGACTGCAGGCCACTTTGAGGCTCCCTTTGTTTGCAAAACACAATTTAAAAACCACTGTCCTCAGTTTTATGTGCTAATATTTATTGATGGTGTTTCTATTTTTAAGTATAATATAGCTCAAACTGTCTTATTTTACCCATCTATCTGTGCTTTTATCTTTTTAAAAAAAAACATTTGTAAATATTTGCTAATTTGTTTGCCAAATTATCGAAAATGTTTATATACAGACTGTCTACTTCAGGATCAGTGTTAATTTTAATTTCTTCATAGCAAGTACCTTACCTGTAGTCAGCACCCACTAGTATTGGATTAATATTCCAAGCGGTGTTCTTTTGATGAAAGTGTTGATGTAAACTAGGTTTTTAAAACTGTACTTGTTACTTTGAGAAGTATGTGAGAATAAATTTGTGCTGTGCTCCGAATTATGATTTTAAACCTTGTCTTTTGAAAATGTCATAATGAGGCTAGCATTAAAAAAAAAAAAAAAAGTATTGAAAGTCGGCTAAACGGATTAATTTAGTAAAATAAATACTTTCATTTCTTAGTCATAGATGGATGTTCAATGAAGGGTGGTATTTATAGGCATAGTCAGTTATTAGGCTGTAGAAGTTATATGAAGAATTTGGCCTCACATTTTTCACATAACATAAACACAAAGCAAAATCCCAAAATTGTTTCAGACAGAAAATAAAGAATTCAAAATCCTTTTTGCTAATTATCCTTTTACCCTTGGAGATCTTTGCAGCAAGATTGATACAGATTAGACACTGTGAGAAAGTTGAAATATATTAAATATAATTATAAAATTTTCGATGTGATTAAAAAAAAAAGAATACTACAGCAAAGCTCTTAAGGCAGTCTTGAATACCACATCTAAAAGAGCCATCTGGTTAGTAAAGGCTTTGTTTTTACTTTCTAAATATACAGAATGATAAATTTAAGAAAATAAATGTGTATTTTTCTTTCAGTGCTGATTCCCCGTTACTGTGGATAAGGATAGACCCAGATATGTCAGTACTGAGGAAGGTAGAATTTGAACAAGCAGATTTTATGTGGCAGTACCAACTCCGCTATGAGAGGGATGTTGTTGCACAGCAGGAATCCATCTTAGCCTTGGAGAAGTTCCCTACTCCAGCCTCTCGGCTTGCACTCACTGACATATTAGACCAAGAACAGTGTTTCTACCGAGTAAGAATGTCAGCTTGCTTCTGTCTTGCGAAGGTGAGATTACTTACAATAGAAAAAAAACAAGATGACTACTGTGTATATTTTTTTTTAAAAATCCTTGAAAATGAGTTAAAGTTCACCATAATCTTTAAATTTATTTGGTAACTGGTCTTTTGAAAGCTTTGCCAAATGTTTTTTAACAAGACTGATTTGAAAGAAACGTCTTTTGATCTGAAAATAGACATGCACAAAAATTATCAAATTGAAAAGTCAGATATTAAAACCAGAGAACTTTTCACCATTTTAATGAATTGCAAGCAACATTTTTAAAGCAAAGAATGTATTTGGTAAGAAATCCCTTGGTTTGAATGATCGTTTTCATTGTAGTACATGAAATCAATTAATCTTAATTATCCTACTGTGGTAACAATTTCATGTTGATTTGGGTTTAGGAATCAATACTAGTGATATGTAATTTAAAATCATAGGTGCTATAATATAACATGTTAGAAAATTAATTTATTAGGAAAACTAAATATTTTTCTTTAGATGCAAAAAAAAACTGAAGGTAGAGCAAATGAAAACCAGAAAAATGCAGACAAAAATTTGACCAGAAATACTGGTTTCCAGGTATTTAAAAAATATCTTGATAGTAGGTTCATTCCCATTTAGTAACTCCTTTGCTTTCCTCACTGCTAAACTCATTTGTCCAACATTTCAACAGATTATAATGGTTTAGATTTGTTTTATCTTTAATGACGAGTAGTTGAATTCCTATGCTCTTCTCAGATATAGGAAGGAAAAACTGATTTTCTTTGATAGTCGTCTGCTAAGGATACAGTTTCATTGCTTCTGTAGAGAGCTTTGTGATTCTTGATGCTGAATCCTTAACATAGCCATGAAATTATAAAATATATTATTTAAAATTATAATTTTCTTCTTTTTAGACAGATGTTTCATATACATTAAAAAATATTTAAAGCAAGGTACGAATTTTTTGTAAAGTGTTCTTACAGACTTAAATGGTAGTACTGTACTTGGCTTATTTTTCAATTAAAGTAGATTGAAAAACCTTATTTAAAATCCACAATGATGTTTCTACTGAGTAAATGTATTAGGATTACGTCTGTCTGAATGAATAAAGACAAACCACTTCTTATTCAGAATATAAGCCATTTGCAAACATGTATTTTCTTAAAACATAAAAGAATAACGATCGCAATTTAGAAATTAACTTGTAGAAGAAGTGCACATATTAAGGTTTTTTTTTTTTTTGGTAAGTAGTTTGTATACTTTTTTGGAAATGGTGGTGAAAGGCTAAAAAGTACTAAATTTCTGAGAATTGAAATTATAGTATTGATAAGGTTTAGAAAGCTGTTCTATTTATTTAAAACTGTAATTGCAATGGTGATGGAAATGGTTTCATTTTCTAATTATTCAGATTGCAAATTCCATGGTGAGCACATGGACAGGACCACCAGCTATGAAGTCACTCTTCACTAGAATGTTTTGTTGTAAAACTTGTCCAAACATTGTGAAAACAAACAACTTTTTGAGCTTTCAAAGTTATTTTCTACAGAAGGTACAGTTTACTTTCTAAGTTTCTTATGATTCCATTGTATGCCATTACCTATATATCTCAGTTTAACTTGGACTATTCAAATAACGGGCGTGCTTACTTTCTTATAAAATGTTTTCTTTGTTCTTTTTTTACTTATACAATTTTTGCCAACTTGAAGCAATTGCTGATTGATTTTATGGCCTGTGTAAAACTAAATCTCATTATCCATACTAACAGTAAAGAAATGGAAAATTTGTCCTTTTGGTTGGTTACATGAAGGATGGAGGTGTGAGTACCTGCTTCTGATAGCAGTCCTTCCAGAGTATGGACAGTTTATATGATCATAGGCAATAAAGCATAAACACTGTAGGTACAGATCTGAACTTCAGCCCCAGCTCTGCTGCTCACTAGCAGTTTGCACATGGACAACTTTCTTAACCTTTTAAGCCTCAGTTTACTGAATTGTAAGATTTATCTTTTTTAGAATAAAATAAGATCAAGCATGTAGCGTGTTTTATACTATGCTTATTACATAATAAGTTTTCTGTAAATGGTAATTTAGGAAATGGTGGTAGTGGAATGGTGTCTTACAGTCACTGTTTTAGGAAGGGATGTAGGAATGGCAGGGTGGTCAGTGATTGGGCAATTTGGAAGTAATTTGTACAGTTTTTTGAGTTATTTAATAATAGCGAAGGCAGAAATGAGATAACTAGATTGAACTGGGAAAGAGAAGTGAAGTTGAAGTAGAGAAAATGAAGCCTGTTCTTTCATGATTTTGGTGTTGAAGAGAATGAGAAAGGAGGCTATACCGAAGATAAAGCAGGGTTGAGGAAAAGGACATTTTGGGTTTCTTTTGTTTTGTATACATGGTGAAAAACTTGAAGCATGTTAGGCATAGAGGAAGAGGCCAGTGGAAAGGGAGAGATGAAATAATCAAGCAGAAGAAAGGAAGTAAAAAAGAGAGAAGATGGAGCAAATTCTGAAATTGTTAGCCGAAGATGGTGCAGTTTGGGAGGTTAATTTTAGACAAGATAAGTACAGTCCTTTTTCTGAGACAGGTGGAAAGCAGATTAAAAACAAGTGAATGTTGAGGGGGGATGTCAGGCAAGTTGAGACATAAATCATAGAAGGAAAGGTAAAAGGTTTGCTTAGCAGCACTGATAGTGAAAATCATATTTATAGTAAATTTCATCAGCAAAACAGATTCAGAGTGGTGCAGGTTTGCTGAAAGGCAATATTGGTTTAATCTTAGAAGCCTGTGGTATCCAATTATTTTATGTTTAAGAACTGAATATTTGATAGTTGTTAAATGTGCTGATCATCTCACTTATTGCCATCACACTAATTCATGGTATGGAAGCAAGTCAATTTCTCTATGAATATATCCCTTCATTATTTCATTGTGCTTCCATATATCATTGTTTCAAACTGGCACTTGTGACCCATTAGTGAGAGGGTCGTGAAATCAGCTTCAAGTTTTGACCAACATTTTTTTTGTGTACATAAAAGAAAACAGAATAGGCAATATCAGAATACATCACATGTGATGAGGGTAGGTGAACATTTTTTTGCTCTTATTGTCTTTTGTTGTTTAGTTTATTTACCTGGCATCTAAAATGTGTGTGTGCTAAGTTGGGATATAAAGTGTATTTCTTACTGTGGGTTGCAGTCAAAAAAGCTTGAAGAACAATACTTTTAGACCAATTCACTTTTCATTTAATACTTCTAGTGGGCAGGAGAAAGAGAGAAGATTGGTGCGTAAATAAAATTTGAGCCCCAAAAGGACAGAGTAGGCACAGGAGAGAGATTTCTATGGAAAAGTGTCCCTCAGCTTTTCTTAGAGCATTAACACTGACTTGTTGCTGCTGTAGCTTCTGCCCCTTCAAGCAAGCAAAGGAGCCATCCCATTCTCGCCCCCAGTTTATAGAGGGCATCGTTATTTTGAGTAAGAAGAGGGATTAGCTTGAATCTTCTGTCTACTGAGGACTATGGTATCTATTCATCTGTAGTTCTGCCTGGAGTTTAATTAGCTTCATTTTACTGGTAGAAGTTACCAGCGTGTATGAGTCATGTTTCTATCTCCTTAGAGAAGTTGTTTATGAAAATTTGGAAAGTAGAAAGTTAAGCTGGATTTCAGATAATTTATCATTTTTCCTAAAACCTTAGGCTGAGAATGGGAGTGGTACTGGAGAATTAGTGTATTCTAAGACTGATTATTGAGCTCTACTGTATGCCACGTGACTGTAGCCATTATATCATTTAATCCTCAGGATGGTTGTGAGGGAACTGGCTCCTAGTCAGTAAGCAACTAGTTAAAGACATCCAGCTTAGTAGGTACAAAAGTTAGGAGTTGAATAATGGTCTGCCTACGGCTAAAACTCATACTTTTTCCGCTGTAGCACACACAACTGAATTTATATAATTTACATTACATATACTTTCCTCCAAGGTGCATGGGCTGCAGAGTGCATCAATTCATGCAACTCTTCCCTTCTTTTCCTACTCAGCTCTTCTTCTATGTTAGAATGCTTTGGGATATGTTTTAAGTAAACGGGTGGGAGCTGGGCTTGCTTTAGATTATCTATGTCAGGTCTAGGGTAATTCGTTTTGTATTATAATTCTGTGAATTGTAGCAATGATGGAATTAGATTATATGCTTAAAACATGTATGTATGTTTTTTGTAGACTATGCCAGTTGCAATGGCTTTGTTGAGAGATGTTCATAACCTCTGTCCCAAAGAAGTCTTAACGTTTATTTTAGACTTAATCAAGTATAATGATAACAGAAAAAATAAGGTAAGGTACCTTTCTTAATGAATATTATGAAACTACCCATTGATATTTTGTTTTTAAAGAAGTGTTTAGTCATTGTTGAATCCATAGTAATTGAATTTTCTAGAGATAGAGACGTACAAACAAGATTGACCAGAATAATCAGTGGATGAGAAACAAGAAGATTAGTTGGTTTTGAAACATTCTTTATACCTCGTATAATGTGGAGATAGTAATGCATCAGATTTTGGGGAGCCATCTAATAGATAACTCATTTTGGTGAAGTCTGGCAGCACAATTAGATTTTTATTCCTTTTTCTTCTTTCACCAAGTGATACTCAGAAGACAGTTCCCACTTGGGGTTAACTTGTTCCTTAACAAACTTGGCCTTTTTCTTTAACCATTGTATGCATTTATTCATTTATTCGACAAGTATTGAATGCTTATTGAATGCTGTGATTCAAAAGTTATTTCACAATCCATAATCAGCAAATGTTATCAATCCATAATTAGCAAATGTTTTTGAGAATATATGCTGTGCTAGATATTTTAACATGTTAAATAGAAAGAAGACATGTTTGATGCCTTTAGGAACTTCATATTAGTAAACATTTTTTTGAACTGTGTATCAGTTTGATTCTGTACCCCAAAACATACTGTCTTACAGTTTTGATGGGCCATGTATTTGGGAGTGGTTTAGATGGGTGGCTTTGGAATCATGATTTCTCATGAGGTTGCAATCAAGATATTGGGCCAGGAATACCGTCACATAAAGGCTTGACTGGGGCTGGTGGATACACTTCAAAAAAAGGTTACTCACATGGCTATTGACAGGAGTCCTCAGTTCCTTGCCACATGGGCTGGTTGATGTGTTCTCACAAGTTGGCCAGTGGGTTCCCCCACACCAAGTGATCAAGAGAGAGATCAAGAAGGAAGCCGCAGTGCTTTTTATGACCTAATCTCAGAAGTTACGCACGATCACTTCTGCTTTAATCTGGTCATTAAAAGTGAGTCACAGAGTTTAGCACATGCTCAAGGGGAGGGGAATTAGTTTTCACCTTTTTAATAAAATATCAAAAAAAATTGTGGATATATTTTAAATAAACTCCTACAAGAAGTTTTTAGGAGCATAAAGTGTTAAAAAGCAAAGATGTCACTTTGAGGACTAAGGTGTGCCTGACCCAAGCCATGGTATTTTTAATCGCCTCATATGCATGCGAAAGTTGGACAGTGAATAAGGAAGACCGAAGAAGAATTGATGCCTTTGAATTATGGTGTTGGTGAAGAATACTGAATATACCAGGGACTGCCAGAAGAATGAACAACTCTATCTTGGAAGACATTCAACCAGAATACTCCTTATAAGTGAGGATGGTGGCGAGACTTTGTCTCACGTACTTTGGACATGTTATCAGGAGGGACCAGTCCCTGGAGAAGGACATCATGCTTTCTGAAGTAGAGGATCAGTGAAAAAGAGGAATACCCTCAATGCGATGGATTGACACAGTGGCTGCAACAGTGGGCTCAAACATAGCAACAATTGTGAGGATGGTGCAGGACCGGGCAGTGTTTCGTTCTATTGTACACAGGGTCACTATGAGTCGGAATTGACTTGATGGCACCTAATAGCAACCAACACTGGAAGCTGTGTCATTGTTTATTTCTCAGACAATATTAATTTTTATTTCTGCTGCTTTTCTTTTTCTTGAGTGCTCTTTTCTCCAAGTTGCTTTGTTTTTGTTTTGTTTTTAATTTTATTGTGGTCAAATACATATAGGGCAAACATTACCATATTAACCAATTTCAGGTGTACAATTCAGTGATATTAATTAAACTCACCATGTTGTGCAGTTATCACCAGTATTCATACCCAAAAGTCACCCATCACCCCAAATAGACACTCAGCAGCCCTAAAGTAACAACTCCCCATTCTCCCTTCCCCCCAGCCCCTGATAATCATCAATAAACTCTTGTCTTTATGCATTTGCTTATCCTAGCTATTGCATTGTATAGATGTACCACATTCTGTTTATCCATTCATCTGTTGATTTTCACTTAGGTAGTTTCTGCCTTTTGGCTATTATGAATAATACTGTAATGAATATTGGTGTAAAATTATCTGTTTGAGTCCCTGCTTTCACTTCTTTTGGATGTATACCTAGGAGTGAAGTTGCTGGATGATATGAAAATTCTGGTCTCTATTTTTTATGTTGATACTGTCTTCAAATATCTGGTGATCCTTGGTTATATTTTTGTAAATGAGAGTAGAGCATTAAATAACTGATTTGAAGCTCTGTGGTTACGAGCAGGATTTGTGGACTCTGGTTTTCCTTCTAGAGGAATCTGGCCAGGTTACTATAAGAGTGCCTTACTTGTAGTAAATGTTTGGTAAATTAATGTATCAGTGATCAGTGAATTTTTTTTCACTGTTTTCCAGTGTCTGCCTCTATATAATGTACATAGTTGAGTATTTACGAGAACTTGCTTATGCTTTCAAATGAATTATGTTTTTGAGTTACACATATTTTATTAATTAATAGAAGTGTGAATTTTGTTATCGTCTCTTAAATTATTCTTTGGCTTAGTTTTCAGATAACTATTATCGTGCAGAAATGATTGATGCCCTTGCCAACTCTGTTACACCTGCAGTCAGTGTGAATAATGAAGTTAGAACTTTGGATAACTTGAATCCTGATGTGCGACTCATTCTTGAAGAGATCACCAGGTTTTTGAATATGGAAAAACTTCTTCCAAGTTATAGACATACCATCACTGTTAGGTATGGTTAAATTCTTTACTTTTTCTTTAAAATTACTTGTTTTTATAACTAAAATAAATTTATCCTCATTATAGAAAATTGGGCAAGTACAATAAAGTAAAAGGAGAAAATCAAAATCTTACATAAATTTTTGATCCATAGATAAATTCATATTTTAGAGAATGTCCTTCTAGCGTTTTTCCCTCAGTAACTATATAAATTTTTAATTACTTGAGATTATATTGTATATATAATTTTTATATTGGTATCATAAACATTTTCTCATATCATCTGAAATTCTTCAAAAGCATTACTTTTGATATCTGCATAATTTTCTATCCCATTGGATATATTATAAAAGTTTCTATATTGTCAGACTTCTTTTTCAGTAATTTCTTGCTTCTATCAGCTTCTTTGTATATGGTTATCAAAAAGTTCTGCTTATTTATTTAGGAGTTTGCTAAAAGTTGATTCACCGATACAAACATTATAAACCGTTTTAACCTTTCGTGTATATATATTGACTAAACCATGTATTACTAAAACTTTCGGAGAAAATGCTTCATTTAAATTATATTTTATGCTAAATAATTTTTTATGATGAATATTTCTGTTACAATGGTAAGCCACAGAACGGAACTTGAAGCTTGGAGTTTCCAAACAAGTTTTGGAACTTGTTTTCTTTTAAGAGGATTAAGCTATTAATTTTGAAGTTTTATGATCATTGTGATAATTTAGTATTATACAGTTGAAAGACAGATTTAAATCACATCAGTTTTTCAATTTACTGATGCAAATTAATCTCAAATGCTTAGGAAACAAGTTTGATTCAGTGTGCTTAAACAAAAGTATTTATAATTACTTTTTTTTTTTTCCTTCCTAGTTGTTTGAGAGCCATACGGGTGCTTCAGAAGAATGGACATGTGCCAAGCGATCCAGCTCTTTTTAAGTCTTATGCTGAATATGGCCATTTTGTGGACATTAGGATAGCAGCTTTGGAAGCAGTTGTTGATTATACTAAAGGTAATGTTTTACAAATATATGCTTATATCACTTTTTGTTAAATTAATATTTTATTGTGTTTAAGGTGAAAATATACACAACAAATTAGGTTCCCATTTAACAATTTTTCCACAAATTATTCGGTGATACTGGTTGCATTTTTCACAGTGTGTCATTATTCTCGTTTATTCCATTCTGGTTGTACCATTTCCATTAACTCTAGTTTCCTTGCCCCCTTCCCTTCTCATCTACTCTTTAGAGTAATTTTTGATCATTTGGTATCCTATGGGTAATTTTTCTTAAAGAAGCTCATTACTCATGGGTGATACTTTTTATTTTGTGAGCCTAGTCTGTCGTTTCGTTAAAAGGTGACCTCGAGGGGTAATTTCAGTTTAAGGTTTAAAGCATATCTCAGGGCAACAGTCTTGGGGAGTCCTCTAGTCTCACCCTGTCCAGTAAGTCTGGATTTTTTAAGAATTAGAATTCTGCTCCACATTTTTCTTCCGTTCGATAAGGATCCGTCTGTTGTGGCCCTGATCAGAACGGTCAGTAGTGATAGCCAGGCACCATTTAGTTCTTCTGGTCTCAGCTCATATCATTTTTGAAAAAAATATTTACTTCTTAAAGCCTGTTTTATATTATTGATGTTTTCGTATTATGTATAATACAGGTATTTAAATTTTAAATTCTTGACTCACTGATTTAGAAAGAATTTTTGGTAAATGTACAATCTGGATAAAAAGTACTAAATGAGGAAAAAATAAAATTATAGATATCTTTGGCCTTTCCTAGAAGTCAGTGCATCATTCTGTAGCTTTAATTACATATTATTTTAAGAAATAGGAGAAGATTTTTACAAAATTTCTAACTAGCATTATAAGAAGGATTGAAGAAAACATTTTATACCTGTGCAGAAATTTTTATCTGTGAAAGCAGAGCAAGAGACATAAACAGGAACCTCAGTAGAAGGATTAGACAAGGCTTCATAAAGATGAAAAAAATATAAGGCCAAAAATGAATAACAGGATAATGCATATTCAGAACATTTTCAAAAGCTGATGAAAAACATAAAAAAAAGATCAAAATTTTAAAAGAAACATATTGAGCCATGAAGACTAGAACAGGTGGAAGAAAAGCTATAATCTAAGAAATAATAGAATACTTCAGAGGGTGTGAACGAAACAGTCCTAAGCTGGATCCTCATGAAATTTCAAATTTTAAGGTTAAGGACAAACTTAGTAAGTTCCTAGGTGTCATAGATTGAATTGTGTCAACTTGGCTAGGTCATGATTCACAGTATTGTGTGATTGTCTACCATTTTATCATCTGATATGATTTCCCTGTGTTGTAAATGCTATCACTATGATATAATAAGATGAATTAGCAGCAGTTGTATTGATGAGGTCTGTAAGATTAGATAGTGTCTTAAGCCAGTCTCTTTTGAGATATAAAAGAGAGAAGCAGGCAGAGAGACATGGGAACCTCATACCACCAAGAAAGCAGTGCTGAGAGCAGAGTGGGTCCTTTGGACCTGAGGTTCCTGATTATATTGAGAAGCTCCTAGACCAAGGAAAGATTGATGACATGGACCTTTCTCCAGAACTGACAGAGAAAGCTTTCCCCTGCAGCTAATGCCCTGAATTTGGACTTGTAGCCTACTAGACTGTGAGAGAATAAATTTCTCTTGGTTAAAGCTGTCCACTTCTGGTATTTCTGTTGTTATAGCAGTGCTAGATGACTAAGATACTAGGAATATCAGATATGGGTGATTTTACAGCGTAAAGGAGTAGTCTGGCCTCTGACTTCTTCAGAATATGGAGAGTCAGAAAACAATAAACCAATAGCCACGTAATCTTTAGGGGAAATTATAATCTAAGATTTTCTACCTTTCCAAGTTGTCGCTCACATAGCTTTGAGGCTTAGAAGTATATCTCCTACGTAGCATTCTTAAAATCAAATTTCCCAACACTGTGAGCCCTAATACATGGCATAAACAGAATACGAACCATAAGTAACCATGCACAAACACCAGAAGAGATACTAGATAACTGGGAGCTCCTAAAAATCAAACACTTCTGTGCATCAAAAGACTTCACCAAAAGAATTAAAAGACAGCCTACAGACTGGGAAAAAAGTTTTGGCTACAACAAATCCGATTAGTGTCTAATCGCTAAAATCTACAAGATACTGCAAAACCTCAACAAAAAGACAAATAACCCAATTAAAAAATGGGCAAAGGATATGAACGGACACTTTGCCAAAGAAGACATTCAGGCAGCTAACAGACACATGAAGAAATGCTCACGATCATTAGCCATTAGAGAAATGCAAATCAAAACTACAGTGAGATACCATCTCACCCCAACAAGGCTAGCATTAATCCAAAAAACACAAAATAATAAATGTTGGCGAGGTTGTGGAGAGACTGGAACACTTCTACACTGTTGGTGGGAATGGCAAATAGTACAACCACTTTGGAAATCGATTTGGCGGTTCCTTAAAAAGCTAGAAATAGAAGTACCATACGATCCAGCTATCCCGCTCCTTGGAACATATCCTAGAGAAATAAGAGCCATCACATGAATAGATACATGCACACGCATGTTCATTGCAGCACTGTTCATGATAGCAAAAAGATGGAAGCAACCTAGGTGCCCATCAACAGATGACTGGATAAACAAATTATGGTATATTCACACAATGGAATACTGCACAATGTTAAAGAACCACTATGAATCTGTGAAGCACCTGTAACATGGAGGAATCTGGAGGGCATTATGCTGAGTGAATTTAGTCAGTCACGGAAGGATAGATATTGTATAAGACCACTATTATAAGAACTCAAGAAAAGGTTTAAACACAGAAGAAAACATTCTTTGATGGTTAAGAGGGTGGGGAGGGAGGGAAAGGGGTATTCACTAACTAGACAGTAGACAAGAATTATCTTAGGTGAAGGGAAGGACAGCACACACTACAGGGGAAGTCAGCACAACTGGACTAAACCAAAGCTAAGAAGTATCCTGAATACAACCAAACACTTCAAGGGACAGAGTAGCAGAGTAGACCATGCTTTCAGGGGACATCTAGGTCAATTGACCTAACAAAAGTTATTAAGAAAATGTTCTGCATCCTGCTTTGGTAAGTGGCACCTGGGGTCTTAAAAGCTAGCAAGCGGCCATCTAAGATGCATCAATTGGTCCCAACCACCTGGAGTAAAGGAGAATGAAGAACACCAAAGTCACAAGGAAAGCATTAGCCCAAAAGACAGAAAGGGCCACATAAACCGGAGACTGCAACAGCCTGACACCAGACGAACTAGATGGTGCCTGGCTACCGCCAATGACTGCCGTGACAAGGAACACAACAGAGAGTCCCTGTTGGAGCAGGAGAAAAATGGGAAGCAGAACTCAAATTCTGGTGAAAAGACCAGACTTAATGATCTGACTGAAATTGGAGGAACCCCAGAGAACATGGCCCCTGGACTCTCTGTCAACCAATACTAAAACCATTCCCGAGGCCAACTCTTCAATCAGAGATTAGACTGGACTATAGGACATAAAGTGATACTCATGAAGGGTGTGCTTCTTAGCTGAAGTAGATACATGAGACTAAATGGACATCTCCTGTCCGGAGGTGAGATGAGAAGGCAGAGAGGGTCAGGAGCTGGTTGAAAGGACGCGAGAAATCGGGTGGAAAGGAGGAGTGTGCTATCACAGTATAGGGAGAGCAATTAGGATCACATAACAATGTATGCATAAATTTTTGTATGAGAGACTAACTTGAGATGTAAACTTTCACTTAAAGTGCAATAAAATAAAATTGAAAAAAAAATGAAATTTCCAAAAGATCTTTTTCAACTAACCTGGAAGTGAATCAAAATAAATAATTCAAGATTGGCGGAAGTGTGAAATGAAAGAAGGTAGTGATAAGCAATTGTGCCTGTAAAATAAAGAGTTGAGCTTAATTATTTGGTAAAATGGTTGTCAAATTTAATGCAAATTAAAAAGATAATTCTTCAGAAATAATGTGCAAATGTAAGAAATATGTAAATCTGTATCTGAAATTCCAAATTATTCCACCAAAATATGGGAAGCGTTAAAAAGAAAAAGTATGCTAAACTTCTTGTCTTACTGTGAAAAGAGAGGCAGGCATGAGGGAAGTTCTTTAGTCGATAACTGGTGGATATTTTTTTTTAGATAACACTTTGTTGTGTTTTAGATGAAAGTTTACACAGCAGATTAGTTTCCCATTTAACGATTTTTATAGGAACTGTTCTGTGACATTGGTTACATTTTTCACAATGTGTCAGCATTCTCATTGTTTCCTTTTTGTTTGTACTTTTTCCATTAATCTAGCTTTCCTGATAGTGGTTGATTTTAAAATGTTAAGTACAGAAAAATATACTCAAATCTTTATAATTTCCTTAAATTTCAATAGAAATGCTTCTTTATAGTCAGAAAATAATGAAAAGTTAAGAACAGTGTAGTATGTATATCATATATGTTGGCTTAAGTTTAGAAAAAACTGTCATTTGTTTTACCATTTTACTGAAGGTTAAAATAGCCTTTGTTTAAAGAAATAATGGTGATAATAGTGGTTTTAAAAAAATAAATTTCTTGCAAAAAATAACAACACTGTAATCCTTTGACAGTTCCCAGTTTTGACATTTTAATAGTTCATAAAGTCTAGAGTCTTGACATTCAACTATGCCAGTTTTCCCAGCCTTCTTTCCCAGGGTGTATGAATGATGTTCAGTGTCTCATAAATATGAAGATGATCTCATGAACTAGTACTATCTGAAATGAAATAGAATGCTAAATATCATGCTTTCAAAAAGAATGCCAAACTGATAAATATAATTTAAACAGGTGATGTTAAATGTAATCCATGGATGTAGACTTCAGTAATTGCTAAGTAGTAAGTTTAAATACTGGTGCCCAGATAAGAAAATGGAAGAAATGAAAAATATTTTAGAAATAAAATTCTGAGTATAAGGGAAATCTTTTCAAATTCATAAAAGCAAAACTTGTTGAAAAGGTGAATGACATAGTTAATGAGTCAGTTTATTTTTGTCATGAATATTCTTAGCACTGTTTTTGTAATTGCCTTTTACGTTATGTTGAAAATTTAAAGCTACTATTTAGTCTTAAATAGAAGAAACTACTTGAGGAAAAACAATTGACCATATGTATGATATTGCTGAGATACTATTGAGTGTTAAGCCTCCCCATAGTTTGATCTAAACATCTTCTATTTGAACACATTTTGTCAAATTAAAGTTACTTATTTCTAATCTACGGTCCTTAGTAATAAATTTATTATAAATTATTATTTGCTTTATGTCATTTGCCATTGATTTAAGCTTTAGTGAAAAACATGGCACTTGATGCTATTTTATGTCTTGGCTACATATAAGCACAATGCTTATAAAATTTACATAGAGATCCACTGAGTCAGAAATGTAAAAACATGCCTACTAGCCTTCAGCTCTGATTTGAAATCTGAGGCAGAGTCTTAAATATTAAGCATAAACTCCCTGCTTGCCTCTTATTTGTTATTTAATTTGTTAAATTAACAACAAATACATTTCCGTATTTTCAGTGGACAGGAGTTATGAAGAACTACAGTGGCTACTTAATATGATTCAGACTGATCCTGTACCCTATGTAAGGTTAGTTTTTGTGTTATAATACTTTGGTTTTTAAGTCCTGAAGTGAACTGAATATTTTCAGTAGGTTATACATGAAACAGTTGTTTGTTATTTTTGAAATTATGGAAATATGTTGTGTAGTTATTCATGTCCTTTTTTATTTGATTTGCTTTCGGAAAGACATTTTAAAAATATATTGTTAATAAACAAAGTTTATTTCCCTCAGTAAATGCTAGACCTCTGCCATAGCTTCCTTACTTCTCTTTTCCCCTTTTTGTCTTCTTACAGTGTACCCTACTCAGAGCAGTAAACATTTTCTTTTTCAAATCTTATTTTGATCACATTGCCCTATTATTTTGACACATTTTCAGAGGACTCCATAATGTGTTCAGATAGCCTCTCACAGGAGATATGAACTTTCATTAGTAGGGTTTGACGGTCAGTCTTGGGGTGGGGGTGGTTCTTGACTTCATTGACTTTTCTCAAACAGCTTATTTTGAGGAAACCTTTTTTCCATCTTTGTATTTAAAATGCTTCTAAACATCTCCATACTTTATAAAGATAATGTAATAATGAAATTTATGTTCATTTAATTATTTCAAATGTAGACTTCTTCTTGGCCTAATTATAAATTTTTTGCCTAATTTAAGATTTTAATACTTATTAACCAATCTTTTATGTAACTTTTTCTAGGGAGAAGTAGAATGTTCTTTTTAGGAAGTGGGAAGGAAAAGGTTGTTTAGGATTGCAAAGGTAGGTTGGTTATAGTCAGGTTTTAGAGGACTTCATTGCCCAGTAAGGAGATTTTAGAAAAGCAACACAGCCAGAATTTTTTAGTGAAAAAACGAGTAATACATATTTAAAATGTAATATATATAATGTGTTTTGAAACTAAATGAAACACAGAGCTGGACCTAAGAGAGGAGATGATAAAATACAAAGGAGGAACTATAGATAATTTTCAAATGATTTATTTAATGGTCAGCAAAAGTTAATTCTTTTTTCAAATTTTTCAGGCATAAGATTTTAAACATGTTGACTAAGAATCCACCTTTTACTAAGAATATGGAATCTCCTTTATGCAATGAAGCCCTGGTAGATCAGCTTTGGAAACTTATGAACTCTGGTGAGAAAGCAGTGTTATTCTTTTTTAACTTTTTAGCATTGAAGTATATATAGTTTATAACAGGTTTTCAGTAGCTTTTAAGAACTGAAGTATTTTTTTGTCTTTTTTTTTAAAGGATACTTATCACATCCACCTTCAAAGTGGTGGGAGCAATAACATTTGTTAATGATACGCTCGCCCACTTTACCCTACAAAGTGGCTGAGGAAACAAAAATATTATTTTATGTGAAAATGTCTTAAATGTTTAAAGAACTGTAGACATGAACTCATAACGTATTATTATTATTTTTAATTCAAGAAGTTAAAAAGTACATATTGTCCTATACACATTGTTCTGTACCTTGGAAATTGGTGGGATCTCCTCACAGTTTTGATTTATGTTATTTAAATTAAGTCAAGGGGCAGTATAACATAGTGTTTAAAGACAGCTGGAACCAGTTTGCTAAGGATTGAGTTTCAGCTCAATTATTTAGTCACTGTGTGACTTGTCTTTTTTTTTTTTTTAATTTATAAGATGGAGGAGATAATGGTACATACTTCTGCAAAATGAGAATTAAATGAGTTAATATTTGTAAAACACTAGTTCATATTAACTGTTCAAGAATGTTGTTATACTAACATAGTGATACTATTGACATTATTTGAGCTATTTGTAGTTCTTTTTTTGTAGGTCATTCGTATCCTTTGCCATTTTTTATTGGAACATTGGTCTTTTCCTGTCAACTTGTAAATGCTCTATACATTTAAAGAAAATTTGTCTTATGTCTGTGATATGTTGAAATTGTAATGCTGGTTTCTGTTTAAAGATATAATCAAAAGCTAGGCTGAAATTATATTAATTGTAGATGGTGGGAGAGCTGAAGTATACATTAATTTACTAACACTGAGATATTAAGGGTTTGTATAACTTCTTTCCCTCAGTTTCATAATCACAGTATAATACCCCCAACTAATGGCACCAAGGTAAGTATTTCACTGAAATGTAATAAAATCGAAAATAACATGGCCCTTGTCTTTAAGATAATCAGCAAGCAACATGTAAGCCATTTTATACTATTATTGTCAAATTGTTTTTCAGATGGTTTCCCTTAATCCCTAGAAGAATGATTTCTTCTATTAATGTAATGCTTTATATTTTTGCTCCCTATAGTTACCTTAAAAGGTGGTATTATTACTGTTTTTTAGATCCAGGACGATGAGGCACACAGGTTTAGGAACTTGTAAAGTGTTGTTCAACCAGTTAACATCATTAAGGATCATTAACCAGTTATGTGCAACAAACTATAAACCAAAAAAACCAAACCCGTTGCCATCAAGTCAATTCTGACTCATAGCTACCCTATGGGACAGAGAAGAACTGCCTCATAGGATTTCCAAGGAGTGGCTGGTGGATTCGAACTGCCGACCTTTTGGTTTGCAGCTTGAACTCTTAACCACTGCGCCACCATGGCTCAAACTATACTGTACTGAATATATTCTTAATAAGAATACATGTTTCCTTGACCATGAAAGATTAAAATTTTAGGAGAGCATGCTGAAATACAAAAATTTCCCTTACCACCTTTTAGGGAAGATTCTTAGAAGAAATAAATGTATGTTTAAGATTAATGGGAAAATTTGTATAAAACATTGGAAACCTGTTGAAAGGTTGTGGTCATACAAAATCAACCTCCGATATTTAGTATTTAATTTTTATACTGTGAAGTATAAAGTACAGTTGCTGCTTTGGTTGGGAATTCTCTGTGCCAGTAATCTAAACAAAACAGATCAGCGAGTCTGTAGCCGTAAACAATTTATTGCTCAGTTCATCAGATTTATAAATAAGTAGGAACATTATGAACAGTGGGAGTGGCATTAATAATTGGGAGGAGTTTTTGGTTTTGTTTTGAGAACATTGCACATTAGACTGGGAAGATGGGCTAGAGGACCACTTAGTTCCCTTAGAAGCCTGAAGCTCTAGGATACATGAGTGAATATGATCTTTGAGTGATTCCTTTTTTGTTTAAAAACTTTTTTTTGGTATGATTTTGTAAAACTTTTTTTTTTTTTTTTTGTATGATAAAACTAATATAATCATGTTACAGAGTTTATCTGGAAAAATACCAAAGAAGGAAAATATTACACAATTCAATTACATCACTGCTGTGGGTATATTTGGCCTTTAGGAAAAAAGAAACACAACTTAGTGTGCAGTAGTTGCAGTTGTAATGAAGGTTTTAAAATAGCATTTTATCATGAAAACTGTACACACTGTTATCTTTGTAATGCTTGTTGTTTTAAGAAATGGTCATGGGAATTCACATGGAACAAAAGGAGCTAGAACATCATGTAGGCCCCTAAATCCTGGTGAACCCTGCCTGCCCTTTACTCCTTGTTGGAGCTATTGGGAATCTGGTCATTTGAGATAAGCGTTTATCATGAACAAATAAGCAGTGGGCGTTCAGGGTTTAATTGTACTCATTTATTTATTTCTGTGTTATTCCAAAATGGAATTAAGATGTGTTGACTTTGTATAGTTATAAAATTCATTGAACCCATTTAAAATATATGGGAGAGAGGATCATTGCAGTTACCTTATGAGATGGCCATCAGATACTTTTGAAGAATCAAAGTTTGTTTACTTAATAACTGATTGCACAAACTTTTCAGTGAAAGATTGCTTGCAGAAGAATGCATAACAACAGAATTTAGAAAACTGAAATCAGTTTTAGAGACAGACAGACGAACCATGAAATTTTATTCATGAATTTTTAAAATGCATACACCGTTCAATGAATATTAATAATACTCATTTTAGAAATACCCTAGAGAGATTTGAAACTAAGGTACAGAATCTGGGGGCTGTTGGTAACCAGAAGGGAAGTTCCCAGACATCTGCTGCTGAGATCCCACGACTGCCTGGTCTCTGCATACTTCCTGGTGCTTGGCAGCTCCACTTAGCCTTGCACTGTGGGAGCTACTGTAGTATCCTTCCAACAGTTTTGCTTTGAAAATACACACACGTACACACAGAGATACCTTATCCCTTTCTTTAGTTTAATTTTCCCGTATCACTTTTTCTCTGTAATATTTTATTTTTAAAAACTTAATGTTTAGAAAAATTTAAAGAATAGTACAATGGGCACTCAACTCATACACTTTTCAGGTTGACTCAACGGTTGTTAACGTTTTAGCACATTTAGTTTATCTGTTTTTCTCTGTATGTATATGTGTGTGTGTGCGTGTGTACACACATATATATACACATACATACAAACCATCTTTTTTCCTAAGTCATTTGAAAATGAGCTTTATCGTGATTGTCCTCCCTAAATACTTTAGTAAATATTCTTAAGAATAAGGAGATTCTTTTAAATATCCACAATACCATCATCACACCCCATCTCCGTATTCAGATTTCCTTCCTCAGTTGTCCCAAAAGTGTTCTTTATAGTTCCACGTGTTGTTGTTGTTAGTTGCTATCAAGTCGATTCTGGCTCATGACGACCACATGTGTGCAGAGTAGAACTGCTCCATAGGGTCATAGGGTTTTCAAGGCTGTGACCTTCTGGAAGCAGATTGCCAAGCCTGTCTTCTGAGGCACCTCTGGATGAGTTCAAACCACCAACCTTTCGGCTAGTTGAGCACTTAACTGCTCCACCCAGGAACTCCCACACGGCTTTTAAATGAATAGTCCTCCACAAAAAGATAATACACATTGTAAAAAGGAAGCCTCTTTCAGATTAGGTGTTCTTTGTCCCCAGTGCCTTAAGAATCTTAAATAAATAGTTCATTTTGATTTAAAATATCACGTTATCCAGTGGCAGTCCTGGTTTCCAGCATTCATTTATTCACCAGTGGGCACAGTGGTTAAGAGCTCGGCTGCTAACCAAAAAAGGTCAGCAGTTCGAATCCACCAGCTACTCCTTAGAAACCCTATGGGGCAGTTCTTTTCTGTCCTGTAGGGTTGTTATGAGTCGGAATCGACTCAACGGCAACAGGTATGTATGTATGTAGTTATTTATTGAACACTTTCTGTTTGCCACCTTGTTGTGTTTTGTATGTACAAAGATGACTGTCGTATTAAGTTAGTAAAATGGAGAGACATAGGAACAGATAAATTATAATACAGAGTGGTAGTTGTTAAAGAAAGTGAAGAACAAAGTAGTTTGGGAACCCAAGAAAGGAGCCATGAACCCTGTCTGGAATATTGGAATGTTCATGGAGAAGTAACATTTAAGCTAGGTCTTGAAGAATGGAAAAGAGTTTGCTAGCAGGAGAAAGAAATTTTTAGGTAAGTGAAGTCTATGTAAAAGCCTCTAGTTTTGTAATGGCCTTTGGAAAATAGTGAGTGTTATCTGGAAAGATAGATTGGGATCCAAATTTGAAGGGCCTCAGGAGTTTGTGTTTTATCCCATGGGCAGTGAGGAGCTGGTGGAGGTATATGACTTGACTGACTTCCACTTATTGTGTTTGAGAGCTTTTTCCCCCACACTGAAAGAAATTATTTTTCTTCAACACATGAAAATGTCTCAAAATTCCAAACGTACGAGATCCTACCTTTTATAACTTTTAAGAATAATGGATTATAGATCAATATGATAATAACTCAAAAAATACATTAAAAAATAAATTGCAGATTTTTATTGGTGCTTTACATTTTATTTTAAAATGAGTACTTTTTTCAGTCTTGCCTAGCTAACAATGTTTTTTGCATTTCTGAAGGTAGTATCTTGACTGTTTTTCAGTACAAAGGAAATTTTAGCCATTACTCTTAACACCTCTTCACTGCTTGGCGCATTACTGTAAGAATGACATGAAAACATTTATGTAATAGACCATTGAAGGCTAACTGCTTATTTCTATTATAATTTTTTTTTTTTTTTT